ATATATATATATATATATATATATATATATATATATATATATTATAACGTGCATTGTTAATTACACACTACAAGAAAAACGGCCTTTAAGGAAAGGAAATTTGGTCCCTAAAAGTTGAAATCCGGTCCTAAAAGGGTAAATTACGAAGGGAAATGGCTGGTCGTAATAGCCTCCGCCGCTAAATGTCAATAACGACGTGTCTTAATACCTGGTCGTTAAATCACTTTAGAGACGGACAAAAAATCTGGTCGTGAAATACTTTTAGAGACTACATTTCTCGTCCCTAATAGATGATGAAAAAAATATATATTCCTGTCGTTAAATCTTTGTAGCGACCAACTGTAACTGGTCCTAAATTATCTTTTAGAGACGGACAAAAAACCTGGTCGTGAATAATTTTTAGAGACTACATTTCTCGTCCCTAATAGACGATGAAATATATATATATTCCCATCGTTAAACCTTTTTAGCGACCAACTGTAACTGGTCCTAAATTATCTTTTAGAGATGGGCAGAAAATTTGATCGTCATTCCAATCGTTAAACCATTTCCGCGACCAACCTTTAACTGGTCCTAGATTATGTTTAGAGATGACGTCCCTATTTAAAATAATTTTGTAATTTAGCGATCGTATTCATGGTCTCTTAATAACCATGAGTTGTCCTAAAAGATCAATGCCACAAAAAGTAATTTTTATCAATAAATATCAAATTGTTATTGAAAAATCTAGATATAAAAAGATAATATATCAAGTTCGAATCCCATGATGATGTTACTTTCTATGTTTTCTCAACACCTCAACAAAAAAAACTTAGCTAACATCCTGAGCTAGACTATGATATCAAGTTTTGCATAACATTTTTAGCAAAATAATAATGAGCTTGTGCATCTTCTAATCTTGCAATCTTGACTTGTAGCTTCAATCATCAAAACCTGTAAGTACAAAAGTTTGAAAAATGATAAATAACTATTGGTAAAATAACATATATAATTTTAAATGAGCAATAGTTAAATCGCTTACCCCAAAAGCAGTCTAAATTCACCGGGTGTTATCCAGCAACATCAACAAGGCTACAAGAATATTAAAAAAAATTAATTAGAAAAGCTTTGGGATGGTTAATCTTACTTTGGTTCGATAAATCCCGGTACGACAATTCGAGATTTACCATTCAAGAGACCAACTATTATGACCAGACAGCAACATCACGAACTTGGTATTTTAAATCATAAGAGAACCATATAATCTAATTCAACCATAAGTTTTGTCAAGTTTGACCTGTTACCACTCATCACTGTTGCAACATTTCCAGCCACTTCCACAATACAAATAAGGTTGTCTGTGCATGTTGATGATCCACTCAAAATAGAAATTGCAAAATAAGTAGTATATACATTGTTTTGGAGTTTGAAATATTTTAGTTTGAATTGTCTTAGAAGTTATTATCCCTTCCTTGTGCTTCAAAACTCTTATACATATAAAGACTGAGAAGAAGGTGAGTCCCTATTTATTATTTCGTGCTGCAACCTATTGAGATCAGCATATTCTTTTTTTCTTATGTCTTGTTAATTGCACTGCACATTATTTTTGAGTCAAAGTAGCAGTTCTTGTTTGTCTTGTATTATATATCCAGAAGTGTTGAACTTTAACTTGATTGAACTAGAGTTCTTTGTGCCCTCCCTACTGGACTACAACGCGCTTCTTGATTTTCGTAGCCAACAAATCCACAATGCTGAATAATAAGGCACTATCACACCAGTAGAAAAAAGGACCGAGAAGAATAAATGTCAAAGGGCACACAGAAGAAGAATAATGTAATCAAAAAAGCAATCGCTACACGAACCAAAACGCCTTTTCATACGGAATCTATAACTAGCGTTTGATTTAAAAGCACTCTAGACATGTATAGATCAACCCACAGAATCGATGACGATGAACTTTAACTTACTTCAAAAAAGAGTTGATAGAATTAGCATCTGCAGTAGTTGCGATAACAAGTTCATAGGGGCTGCGATTTACCAGAATGTATATAGAGCATGACAATTCTCGTGCCTCATCACAGTTATAGCCCCAATCAAGTCTAAGATAACTATGCAACATCAAAGTTGAGTTAAGAGTTCCAGAACCTTTGGGAGAGTTGAACTTAGATAAACTATCACTGAAGTACAAAAGGAAGCAACTTGCAGAACCTTTGGGAGAGATAAACTTAGATAAACTATCACTGAGGGACTATACGATGACACAACCACTCGAAAAGGAAAAAGATAAGGATGCAACATGCAACCGTAACACATACACCACATGTATAAGGCATGGCAATAAGCACACAACTCCAGAATTTGCAATAGGAAACAGGTGCATAACTGGCGAATAGAACAGATAGATTACCTGAAGAGGATATGATATAAAGACTGATTCATTTTCTAATAGTTCACACTTTATATTTTTAGTTGAGCAAGGTCTGCTAAGGAAATTGGGCATTGAACAAAAACTATGGGAATTTTAAATGGTTCTCCTTTCAGAAGGGTGAAGACAAACAAATATGTAATATAGAAATTGACTATATGCAAATCATGAATAAAAAATAAAAAGTTGGGTATATTGTTACTAACTTGGTCAGCAGACAAAAACAGAGGTCATTCAGTTGAAACGGGCGATGTCGTTGTAAGCGGGACATGTGATTGTTGAGCAGCGAAGAACTCTCTTATTTTACTCATTTCTTTCATCTCATCTTCTAAGGTAGACAAGCGCTCATTCAAGGATTTGTTTTCCTCATTCAAAGATTTATTTTCTTCTCGAGTTGAACGTAGCGCGGACAGTAATTCAGCCTTTGAAGAAGTTCCACCTTTCAAGTCTTTCGCCTTCACTCCACCCCCAAAGCCAAACACATGGCTACGAGTTTGAGGTCCACAACATTTTTCTACAATCTCTATGCTAGGTAGAGATGGATCTGCTTGAACTATTTCTTCGATTTGAGCCTACAAAATATAGAAAAAATATTTAAAATCAGAATCCACCATAATTTCAAGTAATTTACATATTCAATTTTCCAAACATACATGTTTTTCAATTGTTTCAGGTTCAACAAGCTTGTTATCTTTCTTACGGGTCTCAAAGAAAATTGTTGACAAATCCGGTGGGTTGCCATCTTTTCCGCCCTTTACATCATCAAAGGCAAACATGTCAAAGAATAGCTCGTAAATATTTTCTTAGGAAAATAAAAATTTTATGATAATACCTTTTGATAAATGATCTCACGAATAGGCTTGCTACCAATATGATGAAGCATCTTCAACTTAGCTCGATTTGCCGCATTCCTGTTGCTTCTCGCCTATATTTGTGAAACATTAATGTTTAATAACACTAATGTTTAAGAATGTTGGAATTACATGATTCTATATGGGTGAAAGTAGAACTAGTTTTTTTTCACAATTATGTTAATGGAAAGAGGCCAAATTTGTAGTTGAAGAGAAGGCAAAATGCAGATGATGCTTTAGCGAAATAGATTATTAAATCACTAGGCATACCTGAAAACTTTCTGAAGAAAAATGTTCCTTTACTAACCACTCCCATTCTTTCTTGTCTATTCCCTTTGGAATATTCTTAAGAGCATGTTGGATTGGCTTATCCTTCACGTATTTTGCATGCAAGTGTCCTCTCCATTTATTCCATAAATCTTTCATCCATAAGAAGATATGATCACGATGATTATTCATGTCAACACTCTCAAATTTATCCTACAATAATCAAAACATGGGTTGAGTTAATGAATTAGTTCAATTTTAGTAACTACTCATAATCCTGTGTTAGGAGCAACTCTCCAGCAATTAACATATAATATAGTTTCAACTCTCATGTCAAACTCTACAGAAACTAACAGTTGAATCAAACTCTAGTAGTGGAAGATGACTTGCCTCTCAATTTAACTATAATTGAAAGATTATAAAAGGATGGCATGTAGGATTTTGTTAGCAATGGCTCAGTTAAATGTGTGTGTAAGAAGGGGAGAGCTCTCCCTCATTTGTAAGCACTTGATATGGCCAGTGCTAAATTAATTGCCGATTAAAACGATTAACAATTATCAATCAGAGATTCATTTCACTCGTTGTGATTCCTACATAGAGGGACAAACAGGAACACATATATTCAACTAAATGATATGCATCTTCACTGTATAAATATCTTGCTTACCTCAATAGCTGGCCACATGTGATTCAGCTTTGCTTCCTTAATATCATTCCACGATGATACTCCCAACGGACACATATTACGTTCACGAACGATTCTTCCCAAGTGCCTCGAAAACAGTTTGCTATTTGTTCCAACTGTTCGATTATTGTAAAAGGTTACTTTCAGCTTTTGTCCGACTTCAAGTGATGCAACTTCTTTGCACTTGTTCCTCCCTCGAACTTTTTTTACCTTTTCAGGATTAGATGAACGGCTGCATAATTTGGTAAAAGCTATAGCAATAAAATTCAGTTCTACAAATTAATAACATATGGATTCAAAAATATCATACCTGTTTCAGTTGCTTGGGAGTGTTGCATAAGTTGATCAGTAGATGGAGGCAATGAAATATTGGTTTGCATGTGCTCTTTCTCAAGAACCAAGGAGTTTTTATCCATTGTTCGCATTTCTTGATTACAAGACATGGTAAAATTCGATCTTGTGCTTTTAGAAATCCCTAAAGATGAGCACAAAGATCTAGGAGTTTGCTCCCGTCCCTTCCCTATAGAACCTGGACCAAAAAACCATTTAGTTTGGCATTTAATTTCAGTTATATATATATATGCAATTAAAAATACCACAAATTTGGAAAAACTTACTTGCTTCAACTTTTTGGGTGTATTGCTTAACTTGATCAGTAGATGGAAGCAATGGAATATCAATTTGCATATACTCTTTCTCAAGAACGATGGAGTTTTTATGTATCGTTCCCGTTCCTTGACTAGCAGACATGGTAGAGTTTTAAGTCCTTGTCCACATCCCTTCCCAATAGCACCTGGCGAAACGAAATCATATTACTAATATTTAACATTAAAATTCAGTTGTACACATTAAAAGCAGTAGATTTAAATTGTTTGGATGTATTGCTTAACAAGATCAATAGATTGAGGAAACAAACTCTTAGTTGGCATATTCTCTTTCTCAACCAAAGATCTAAGACCTCGTCCTCGTCCTCGTCCTTGTCCCTTTCTTATAGTACCCAGCGGAACGAAAGCATATCTTGTTGTACTCTTCATAGTTGATTCCACCTCATTTTCGGTCTTTGATGGTTTCATATTGAACCTGCAAAGAGCCAAAAGTAAAAAAAAATAGTAAGACAATGTGTGACAATATAGTAATAAAAGAAATCATGCCATCAGTATATGTAACAATGAATATACTAATTCATAAATAGATACTTCACCTCATCCGTTCTTTTTCGTTTCTTTTGTGAAGGATTTCCTAAGTCTAGAATATCATCATCCATTTGCTTTACAATCTCATAGGAATCACGAGGTTGAGTCTTCCTCACTATATGCCAACCTTTGTTGGAGTTATCAATAGCATAAAACACTTGAGATGCTTGCTCCGCTAAAATAAAAGGCTCATTTGTGTTCAAAAATCTCCCTAGATTAACACTCACGAATTCATACTCATCTTTTTTAACTCTCTTTATTTTATCATACACATCAAACCAATTACATCGAAATAAAATCACTCTTCCACCCATGACAAATTGCAATTCAATCACATCTGTCAAAATTCCATAGTAATCAATGTTCTCACTATCTTTATCATTCTCACCAACTACAACAACACTACAATTTTGAGTCCTTAAATTATTATCATAATCTTTTACATGAAATCTATATCCATTAACAATGTAACCATTAAAATGTGTCGTATATTAGGTAGGACCACCTGAAAGTGAGAGCAGATCTTCCATGATCCGACTATCATCTCCTTTATGCAATTGTGCAGCCTATTAATAAGATTAAGTTGAATAATTTAGAATTAGTAATACAACATTAAAATGTCAAATTTGATGTTTATGTATTACTTACCCTAACGTTCGGTTCCATTTTGCATCAGACAAGTGTTGCGCAGTATCCACATGAGTTTGTGCAAACTCTCTACAAATTTGAAGTGAACCATAAATGTCATATAAAAAAAATTACCCTAAAAGAAAATAAGAAAAATCAGACGATATGAAAGAACTCTCCGTACTCGAGATATGGTATGACTTCATCGCAATTCTTCAGTGTGTATATATGTGCTTGTTCCAATTCATTTGCTTCAAGCTCACATTGTTCTTTAGCTCCCAAAGTACTTCCAGGTTGATAAAACATAGATAAACCTCCATTAGATTTTTTTCAAACCCCCGTCATAATTCCGTTCAGGTCGATTGAATTTTGTGTCAATCGTATGCAGATACCGTGAACATAAGGTCATACATTCTGTCACACCTCCTTTTTCCGCGCCCGGGGGGCGCAGGGGGAGTTTTTTCCAATTGAAGGACAATCGAAACGAGATTTGTTTATTTATTTCAGAGTCGCCACTTGGGAGATTTAGGGCGTCCCAAGTCACCAATTATAATCCCGAATCGANGTTCTTTAGCTCCCAAAGTACTTCCAGGTTGATAAAACATAGATAAACCTCCATTAGATTTTTTCAAACCCCCGTCATAATTTCGTTCAGGTCAATTGAATTTTGTGTCAATCGTATGCAGATACCGTGAACATAAGGTCATACATTCATTTGCAATGTAGCCCTCTGCAATAGAGCCTTCTGGACATGCCCTATTATCAATAAGAGATTTCAAAAAATTTAACCATTGTTCCACAGGATACATCCATCGATAATGAATAGGTCCAGCAATCTTAGCTTCACTAGCTAAATGGATAGGCAAGTGCACCATGACATCAAAAAATGAAGGGGGGAAGACCTTTTCTAACTTGCAAAGTGTTATGGGAATTTGCGCTTCAATTTGTTCCAAGTCATCAATCCTTAACTCCTTTGATCCAAGCACATTAAAGAATAAAGATAACTCAATAACCGGTTCACACACTTCTTTGGACAACATACCACGAAGTGCAAGGGGGAGTATATGTTGCAGAAGGACATGGAAATCATGACTTTTCAACCCAGGTATCTTGTGATCTTTCAGGTTCACACATTGAGAAATATTAGATGAAAACCCATCAGGAACCTTTAAATTCTTTAGGAATTGGCATAATTTGTGCTTACTTTCGGGAGGCAATGTGTAGCATACAGTTGGAACTTCAACTTTCTACCCTCTTTGGATGGGGTTCAATTCCGGCCTAATATTCATGTCTTGCAAGTCTAATCGAGTTTTAATTGTATCCTTGGTCTTTCCTTTGACATTCATGATTGTTCTCATAATATTATCACATATATTTTTTTCAATATGCATAACATTCAAATTATGTCGCAACAAGAGAGACTTTCAATATGGAAGTTCAAAAACAATACTTTTCTTGTTCCAATTATCCTTTCGATTTTCATGTGATATCTTCTTCCTTTTCTTTAGATCCTTTGTTAACTGTATCCCTTCAAGATCTTGCAATTGATTAAGTATCTCAATACCAGAACACATTTTTGGTGGGAGCCTTTTCTCTTTTGTACCATCAAATGAATCCTTGTCATTCCTCCATTTGTGGCTAAGAGGAAGGTAGCGTCGATGACCCATAAAGTATTGCTTCTTACTATTAGCCAATCGAATTGAGGAGGTGTCTTTATTGCAACATGGACGCACCAATTTTCCTTTTGTACTCCATCCAGATAAATTTCCATAGGCTAAAAAGTCATTGATGGTCCATAACAAAGAAGCATGCAACTTAAAATTCTGTCTAGATGATGCATCAAAGGTCTCAATGCCAACTTCCCACAACTCCTTCAATTCTTCTATTAAACGTTGAAGATATATATCAATTGCATCTCCTGGACTACCTGGACCAGGAATAAGCATTGACAAAATAAAATTTTCTTGTTTCATACACAACCAAGGTAGTAAATTATAAGGAATAAGAACCACAGGCCAAATGCTATATAAGGTTTTTGAATTCCGAAATGGCTGAAATCTATCACTAGCAAGTCCAAGTCGGACATTACGAGGCTCTGTCGCAAATGAAGGATGAAGTTCATCAAATGGACTTCAACGCCATTGAATCAGCTGGGTGCCTCATTATTCCATCATCAACTCTTTTATCTTTATGCCATGTCATTAAAGTAGATGTCTTTGTGGACATAAACAACCTCTGAAGCCTAGGCTTTAATGGAAAATAGCGTAAAGTCTTTGATGCTATCTTCTTACCTTTTTTATTCCTTGTTTCCCCGCTATGTCTATCTATTTTCCATCTAGACGCACCACAAACTTTGCAAGAATCAAGTAAGCTATCCTCCTTCCAGTATAACATGCAATCATTAGTACAAGCATCAATCTTTTTGTAGGAAAGGCCAAGGTCTTGAATTATCTTCTTTGCCTCATAATACGATTTTGGCAAATTGGCGCCATCAGGTAACAACTCCTCTTTTAATATTTTCAATAATATTGTAAATGACTCATTACTCCAACGACCCATAATTTTGATGTGAAGCAATTTAATCAAAGAGGAAAGCTTTGAAGCTTTTGAATTTTGGTACAGTGGCTCCTTCAATAGCATGTAAAATCTTTTTGCTTCAATATTTGGTTCCTCCTCAATTAAATCATCACAATCAGT